CCTTTTGTCGCAAGCGTGATAGATAAGCTTCAGTCAGAAGTTGGCTCTCAAAGAGAATTTTATTCCTATATTGGTCACACACACACTTAAGTTCATACAGGCAAGCCAACCCCAAGTTCCCAAAGTACCTTTGACTGAAGACAGTAGCCGTGACCTGTGTTAGCCGGGCCTTCCACCTAAGTGGAAGTCCTCAGGCCGTGGAAATCTCTAGGCTCGAGGGCCCGCAGTGCAGATGGTCACTGGTCATGCAGAGTGTTGAGCTTATAGGCACCTTGTGCCACTGTCAAAGAGCAGGCCACTGGTTCACAGGGAGCAGAGCAGGGGAGTGCAGATTGCTTTGGTGTGTGCCAAACTGGGGAGCAGGGATGAAGGAGCAGGAGTGAGGAGAGGTTTCAGATGGAGAGCGAGTCTGAGTCCAAAGGGAGGCAGCAAGCTGGACTCTGGAAGAGTAGCCTCCAGGGCCTCCCTGGTGGTGCAGGGAGTTGAGAAGCAACCTATGAAGCTGTCCACAGCTACTGCAGCACCAGTTTGATCTCCGGCCAGGGAGCTACCCACATGGCACAGCAGACCTCTCCTGGCTCTCCTGCTGCTCCTCTCAGTGGTGTATTTCAGTCTGTCTGCCTGTTCTGCTCCCCACTCTGTCTCTGGTGAATCCTCTCAGCCTCCACACCTCTGGCCTGTACCCCAGATCTTGTATACATAAATAAATAAATCTTTAAAATCTTAAAAAAAAAAAAAAAAAAAAAGAGTAGCCTCCGGCAAGACCTTTGCTCTGAGCCAGTTTTCAGGACTGCTCTGAGTCTGCTTTGGTAGGGCTCCTTTTATTATTTTATTTTTATAAATTTTTTTAAAGATTTATTTATTTATTTATTTATTTATTTAAGCACTGGGTACAGTCAGAAGTGCAGGAGGGTGAGAGAATTCGCCAGAGCAGAGGCTGCGGGCAGCTTCGCAACCCAGCGCTCAACTGCTGTGCCACTGGGGAGGCCCTGGTAGGGCTCCTTTTATAGCTTCTTACCAGGTTTAGGCTCAGGCACCATCTGCTTTATCAGTTTTTAATACTCAGTATGTGGCCTCAGCTACTTTCACTCACCGTGCTCGCAGTTACCTTAATATTTTCAGTTTTACTAGTAAACTTTATATGTTCGTTACACCTTTCTCTCTATAATGGCAAATGAATGAATTGTTCTGTGAACCCACAGGTGAATCATGGGTAATATCCATACAATATCAGTGGTTTGTACAAACTATTGGTCTTGAAAATATGCTCCTCACTTTAACTGTGATCCTCTACATGCTCCTCCCATTCCCCTATGCCAGCATCCATGGCAAGACATAAAGTATTTTATTGATGCTTTCCATTGAGAAATATGCACTTTAATACCCCTTGCTAATAATTGCACCCTTCACAATTGGGGTCCCCAAGGTTTATTGGTTATGGAAAAAAATAAACAAAACCTGGCATGAAAAAAAAAAAAATGGAACTGGTCCTTACCTTATTTTTATCAACACTTCCGCCCCTCTTGGAATCCAGGTTTTGCTGGTCTATTGTCAAGATATATTGTCATAATAATAATATATGCTCCCCATTTAAAACCAAGATCTGGAGAACTGCCCTCCCGTTCTTTCTTTACATTCTGCAACATGGTCCAGCCCAGTTCAAGGAAGGAAAGTTTCTATGAAATTTTATTGACGCACCTAAGTTCTCACAAATCTGCACCTCTTGCCCATATTTCTCCTAACTTCTTCAATTCCAGTTCTTCAAGCTCAATCCCCGACTTTCCCACCAGGTGGTATTATTTCTTCATGCATTGATCACTCTATTCTTAATATATATAAGTCTGTTTTCTTTATTAAATGACAGATGCATGCCTGGGTACCAGTTAACCTCACCAGGCCTTGGGAGGATGATCACCCTTGGCTGAAATTGTTAATGCCTTAGAATTACATCAAAAGAGAGTACAGAGGTTTTTGACCTCCCTGCAAGCAGCTATAATCTTTCTATTCTCACTGACCACTGCTGCAGCTATGGCTGCCACAGCTCTGGCAAAATCTCTCCAGATGGCCAATGAGGTTCATCAATTTATGCATAACATCACAGAGGACCTCATTGCTCAAGCCCGAATTGATCAGCACATTCTTACTCGTCTTGATGCTCTTGAATCCGCTGCCCTCTGGCTTGGCAAACACCAACAAGCCATGTGGACTCACTCTCTCCTGCAGTGTGACATGGGTTTTGACCCCTTAGGTGTAACTAATATTATTGCCAACAATCTTACCTCCTATTACTGGGCCCTCCAACAACATAATTTGTTACAAGCCTTTGATTCTCCTTTGGCGGCCCCTTTCATGACCTTCAGTCCAAGTTGCTAAATTAATTCATGAAATTCAGCAAGTTTTCCAACAATCCATTGATGACCTTCTCTCATTTTCTAAACTTGCTAACCCATGTACATGGTGGATAGGCTTCTCTTTACAAACTTGTGTTCAAATATTTTTATGCCTCCTATTTGTTTTATTTTCTCGTCTGCCTAGGCTGACGGTGCTGCCTCTACATCCAGTCATGTTGCCGCAGACAAGCCATGCTGATCTACCAGACCACTCTTGATCTTTCCCCGCCTCCCCCTCGCCCATATAACAGAAAGGTGGCCATGTGGATTTCTATGTGCTGGCCACTCATGGGCAACTGTGACCTATTTGCTATCTACAAATCACAGCAGAACATTCCTTGACTACCTATGGAGTGTAGCTCTATGGCGATGCAGGTCTGGGGTTGCCTAGGCTGCTGTTGACCTGATTACATGACTATCCCCATGGCAGTCTTGGGATAATTCTGCCTGTGATAACAAGAGACTTTGCTGATGCAAATATCTCTAACACATGATCAAGATGTCCCCTTCCCTGTTCCTTGTAAAACCTTGTTCCCCATTTCTATCCCACTCTCCTGACCCTATTCCTCATACCGTTTGTCAGCTTTTAGTATCCTGTATGATTTCAATAAACGGCACAAGAACTTCTGCTCAAGTAATAGAGTCTTGCCTGGAAACCTGCTCCATGACTGTTGTGCACCTCATCGCGTCCCCCCCGCAAAGTGGCAACAAAGTTCCTGTCACAACACTTGCCGACTGGGAGAAGCTTTTTAGTATGTTCCCATTAATTTCGATGTTAACTGAAAGATTTCTATAAGTGTACCTGATCAATTTGTGAAAATTCCCTTCTCTTTCTACTTTCGCTAAGATTTTTTTTTTAATCTACGAGTGAATTTTCATATTGAAATAATCATGGTTTTTCTTAGTTAATGTGGTGAGTAATGCTGACTGATTTTCAATACTAAACTAGCCTGATATTTTGAAAGTACATGTCCCTTGGTTGTAATGTACTTTGCTATTTTTCAGTCACTGCATTTGGTTTTTCACTATTTTGTGTAAGTTTTTATTATGTATGTTCATGAGAGATATTATCCTGTTTGCTATAATTTTTCTTTAGGTTTGGGGTGAGGACTTTACTACTTTCATAAGATGATTTGGGCAGTGTTTGTATTTATTACATGGATGTAAGATTGTTATTTCTTCTTTGACGTTTAGAAGAGTTCACCAGTGAAGTCATTTGGGTTGAGGTTATCTGTGGAGATTTCAAATTTCAGACAAATTTTTCATATTTACCTTTGTTACTATAATTACAATACATGAAATTTTTGGAACAATTACATACTTAAACCCAAATTACAAATGTGTGGCTGAATTACGTACTTAAACCCAAATTACAAATGTGTGATTCTGAGGTGCCTCAGTTTATTGTTCTTGGGGCATTGAGGCACAAGCCAGGTATCCAAAAATACACACAAACTAGGTTTTGTGGGTGAAGAACACAGACAAAATGAATCTGGGTGCTTCTATAGAAGAGAGAGGTAGCTGCCCCCTTTTCATTATTAACATTGCTTCCTCAGCTTTCTTTTATTTAGAGTTTTATAGTATATTGTTTTCTGTCCCTTACTTTCAATTTTACCTTGTTCTTTTATTTAAAATGTGCCTCTTATAAGCTGAATATTATTGTTGCTTTTTAAATCTAGCTTTCATGTTTTCTTTAGCTTATTTAGTTTATCGGTATAACTAAGTTTAGTCCAACAGTCTTGCAATTTCTTTTCTTTATGTACTGTTTCTTTGTTTGCTTATTCCTCCTTTTGGATTTTTTAAAAGGAATATATATTTTGCTTCAATTAGCTTTTAACTAGGTATCATTTTAAAATATTATTTTAGGGGTTAGACTACTCACAACAATATGTATCCTGTTAGGGCATGAACAGAGTTAAATGTGGATGCCAGCAGTGTACAAAGGTTCACCCTTGTGGGAACTGCATGAGACCAAGAAAATGAGAGCTCTGCCGTCTTGGGGTAATCCTGGTGAAGACGAGGTTTAGAAGTGATGAAAAGGAGGATTGAGCAGTGTGAACTACAGAGAGTCTGTGGAGATGGAATAATATTGAGAGAATGCCATGTTCTGGAGACCAAGAGAAGAATGTATTTCAAGAAGTAAATGAGCCTCAACTTTGAAGGTGGAAACAGAGTCGGTGTTTTCTTAAGAAATCATAACAATATTCAGTTCAACCCATGAGAAATTCTTGGAAATAGCTGGATTAGGAAAAACTTCATTTCCTTCGATGCTGAGTAATTAAAAAAGACACACAGGATGGACTCAAAGTTATTCTAAGGGAGGAGGGCAGGGCAGGAAAAGCAAGTAGTAGGTGAAAAAGAATTCACCTGGAAAATGTTACCATGGACTATCTGAGTATTGTTACTGATTTTAATACAAATTCAAAGAAATAACAGTTTCTGGTGTAAAAACTCATAAGAGGAAACAGAGTTTCTGTGCGAGATACTAGTGCCACAAGCAGATCCATTATTAGCTGGGAGTTATTGGGGAGAAAACCTAAAATGACTGCAGGGAGCTTTGTGACGCCCTGGAGCCCGCGGGTGGGGAGGGAGCGGCACGCGCCCCGCCCTCCCTCTTCCGCGGCTGCCTGGGGAATGGAAACACCTGCCCCGCGGGCCGGGAGCCTGAGCGCCTCCAGTGCGCAGAGCCATGCGGGGTCCAGCCGCAGGGAGCCTCACCGCAAGTCGTCGCGAGAAGAGCTCGCAGAGATGGCCGCGGCTACTCAGGTGAATAGCGAGGCTCTGGACCTGACCGAGGTCGCTAAGAAGCGGGCGTGGTGGCGCAGATTGTTTCTGCAAGATTCGGGGTTCGCTGCCCAGAAGTACAACGTCGCCACCCAGCTGTTAATCGGTGGCGTCACTGGTTGGTGCACAGGTTTCATATTCCAGAAGGTTGGAAAATTGGCCGCCACAGCTGTGGGAGGGGGATTTTTCCTCCTCCAGCTTGCAAACCATACGGGCTACATCAGAGTTGACTGGCAGCGAGTGGAGAAGGACATGCAGAAAGCCAAGCAGCAGCTGAAGATCCACAAGAGCAACCAGTTACCTACAGAGATCAAAAGCAAAGCAGAGGAGGTGGTGATATTTGTGAAGAAGAATTTCCTGGTGACTGTGGGGTTTTTTGGAGGCTTTCTGCTTGGCATGACATCCTAAGGGGGATGACTTTGCTTCCATCATGGCAGCCTCCCGCTCCATCACAGGACACTGTTTCTCCTCCTCCTCTTTTCCAAGCCATCCTCCCAGCAGTGTCTAATCTGAATGGCTTCTACAGGCATCCTAGGTACAGGTTAACTGTGAGCTTGACAGCCGCAGAAGAGACAGTAGACTTTAGCTGTGCTCCCAGCATCCTCCCTGCTTGACTAATCTGTAGGTCAGCGAGAAGGTTCCTTTCCCCTCAAGTAAGATCCTGACCAGGACATGTTATAAGATGGCCCCTGTGGGGGATAAGTGGGTCCTCAAAGTTGTCCCAACTTTGAGAGAATGTGATGTCCCAACCCCCTTTATTTGGAAAAGAAGTAACAGCACATAAGAGACCTCCTGTGTGAGTGGAAAGGAACTGAATACATTGCTTTGAAGCATGAATGATGTTGGTATTTTGGTGTCTACTTTTTTCCTTTATTTTTGTGTATCACCTAGAGAAAACTACTTTTAATATTCAAGTAAGTATCCTTCACGGTATATATGGATGTTTGTATAAAAACAAACAAAATATCAATAAACAAGTATCTGCACAAATACATATGTAGATACACCTGTATCTACATCTGTATCTACATGTTAATATCTGCAGTAGAAATACACAGGCCCGGTTGGATGTGGATGCCCATTTAAAAATATTGCAGATGGGAAGCACAAACAGGTCCGCCTTTGGAAAAGTGTAATCTTAGTGATACATCTGTTCTCTCACCATTAAGTGGGTTATCTGCTTTCTTTTAGTTGGTTTATCTATACCTGCTATAATTATCCTGACAAAAATGGCAGCATAAGCACTGCAATGAAAAAGTCTGAATGTTAAGGAACTTGTCTCAAAGGTACATCTGCTGAGCTGGGTTATAGTGCTCAGTCGGGAGAGGCGTTTGAAGTGGTCAGTCATTTACAGGCCAGGGCTGTGACCAGGCCAGTGCATGACTGTTTCTAAGGATTTATTTTTGATAAAGTATGTAGCTCTAGGGGGAGAGGCAGAAGTTATTGGATTTACTTATCACAGAAAAGTTTTAAGCTTTAAAATGTGAAGTGTTCTTCTCATCCAAACATAAGCTTCTCTGTGATGATTCTATTTCTTTATTCAGTCAGTCATAGTAGAGTGTTTTAGACACCATTCTGGACATACAGAATTGAGTATGGCAGCAATAGCACTTGTGAAATAAATTATATCCATTATCAAATGTAATTTTCTGTCTCATGAAGACCCCAAGTCTTGAAATCCCTCTTTAAAAGTTTATAGACACTCATACTCTTAGAATCGTTGCATGTTTTGTTGTAGTTACCTGATACCATCTAGAATACCTGGTTCCAGGGGACTAAGCTAGTGTCTTCTGTATACCCAAGGAGCTGAACTCTTAAATAGGACTCACTGTTTGTTGATTATACATAGAAGGATATCTGGAAAAAGTACTGATCAGGGAATTGAAACTTTATGAGTTATGAGAACACATTGTTAACCTTGCCGGTGATCTCTGCAAAAGATGTTTTTAAGACCTTCTTAAGTGTCTTGGCTTTTTAATTTATCTTGGGAATGCTGTATTGAGTTTGGAAATTGTAAAGCTTTCTAGAATTCTCCCATTTGCTTTTTCTCCTCCAGTCATGGTATGAGACATTTTTTTGCTGCATATTTCTATAAAAGAACTTACATTTTCCCACTTTTTATTATGTAAACCTTCCAAGAAAATAGTATAATGGCCTCGACGGATGCATCACCTACTTACATAATTATCATTGTACCTTGCTTAGCAACAATAATTTTAAATATAGTAAAATGTCTGGTCAAAAAAAATCACACAGTGATGTAAGTACAGTGATGTAAGTACAATTTAAAGAAAGAGAAGAGGTAAAGACCTTGCTGAAATATGAAGGGAAGATGAAAGTTAGAAATGAGAAACCCCAGTGGAAAGCAAACGTTTTGAAAACAGTGCCTGATGTGGGTAATGGCTTCATCTTTTTATTACACATGTTTGATGTTTATCTCAAATTTTCTTTGCCATGAAAAATCTCATTACATAGTTCAGCTCACTTCTTCTATGTTTTCCATGAAGAGTCTCATTTCAGGTCCAATAATTATGATCACAAGGTAGTTTACTGAGATTTCTCTTCTCACCAGGATGTTGGTCTTCCTAAGAGAAAGATCTTGATTTTATCCTTTCACATTCTAGTCTTACATATTATTAGTGAGTTTGCATGACATTGGAACCATGTGGAGAGTCCATTCATAATAATTCATAAGACATTGCCACAAATTCTTTCAAATATATGTGCCAGGTCATCAATAATTTTTTTTTTGGGGGGTCAGGTATACATTGCCATGAAGACTGTAACCTGTTCTTAGTTGTGTTATTATTATAGTTTTTTCTTAACAGCAGTAACACTTGTTCATTTTAAGTTAGGGAATGTGAAAGGCATCCTCATGTCATCCCCCTCAGTGACACATAACTAGCTGAGGTGAGATTTATATATATTTGTTAATATCATTTAAACCTTTATTTTTGGGGGCCTCCCCTGATGGCGCAGGCGGTTGAGCACCGCCCTGTGAAGCTGTCCGCAGCCTCTGCAGCACTGGTTTGATCCCAGCCGGCCGGCGAGGGTCCCACATGGTGCAGCAGACCTCTCCTGTCACACCTGCTGCTCCCCTCAGCAGTATATTTTGTCAGTCTGCCTGTTCTGTTCCCCACTTTGTCTCTGGTGAATCCTCTCACCCTCCCACACATTTGGCCTGTACCCCGGTTCTTGTATAAAAAAAATAAATAAAATCTTAAAAAAAAAGTAAAAAAACCCACCTTTATTTTTGGGCCTCCTTGGTGGCACAGGGGTTAAAGTCTCAGCACTATCAAGCTATCACCACTTACTGCAGCATGAGTTCCATCCCTGGCCAAGGAGCTAACCCATAAGGTGCAGCAGATCTCTCCTGTCTTGCCGGCTGCTCTCCTCAGCAGTATATTTCAATTAACCCTCTTGTTCTGCTCCCCACACTATGTGTAGTGAATCCTCTCACCCTCCCACAGCTCTGGCCTACACCTCAGCTTTTGTATGCATAAATAAAATAAATGTTTTTTAAAAAAACCTTTATTTTCATAACAAAATAACATTTATTATTATGCTTACAAATATTAAGTACATTATTCTACGTATACTTTTAAAAAATACTCATTCACTACCATTTTATAGTATTTGAGGTTTTTTACAGAAGTAGTTTAAATAAATTACAGACATCGAACCACTACATTCTTTCAGTATGAAGTTAAGCAATTAGTAATGCTCTCTCTGGGTAATTCTGATAAACATCATTTGCTCAATACCATTGACTAAAGTCAGAGTATTCTATTAACTGTATTCTACTCAGTGTGTTGGAAGAAAATCATAGAGTAACAGGAGTGTTGGTGATGCCAGGAATACAGTTGATGAATGAACATCAGCTACATGGAACATTTTTAAATGTTTTAAATTTATTTATTTTTAATCGAGTTAATATTTGGATACCCCATCACACATTACCAGCATAGCGCGCCCACTACCCCGTCACTCGGCGTCCACTACCATAGTCCATTGTGCTCCCTTCCCACTTTGTTCTTTCCCCAGCCGCTCCCCTTTCTGGCTGCTGTAGTTCTGTACTCAGCTTTGAACATTTTTTAAACAGTGTCTTTATCTGATTCTTAGTTTAGGTACTCTGTATTCCGCAAATTAGTTACACCATTCTGTATTTATCCTTCTCCTTCTGATTTTTTTCACTTAGCATTATCCCTTCCAGTTCCATCCCGGTTGATGCAAATGGAATGAGTTCATCTTCTTTGATCACTGACTAATATTCCTTTGTGTATATAGACAGCACATTGTTTGATACGCTCATCTGTTTGGGGCCATGTAGGTTGTCTCCATAAGTTAGCGATAGTAAATAGTGCTGCAGTGAGCAGTGGAAAGCAAGTTTCCTTTTGAATGAGGATATTTGAATTTTGGCGGTAGATGCCTAGGAGTGGAATTACTGGGTCGAAAGGCAGATATATTTTTAATGTTTTGAGATACCTCCATGCTGCTTTCCATAAAGGTTGAACCAGTTTGTACTCCCACCAGAGGCACAGGTGGTTCCTTTTCCTCACATTCTTGCCAGTACTTGTTTTTTTCTGGTCTTCGCTATGTGGGTCCTTCTCACCGGTGTGAGATGGTATCTCGTTGTGGTTTTGATTTGTATTTCCCTGAAAATAAGTGATTGTAACATTAATTCATATGTCTGTCTGAAGTTAGGTTGTCTTTGAAGAATTGTCTGTTTAGTTCTCCTGCCCATATTTCTTTTGTTAAAAGATTTATTTATTTATACAAGAACTGGGGTACAGGCCACATGCGTGGAAGGGTGAGAGGATTCACCAGAGACAGAGCAGGGAACAGAACAGGCAGACTGACGAAATACACTGCTGAGGGGAGCAGTGGGCGAGACAGGAGAGGTCTGTTTCACCATGTGGGATTCTCACCGGCCTCCTGGGATCCAACCTGCGCTGCAGAGGCTGCTGACAGCTTCACAGTGTGGCGCTCAACTGCCTGCCCCACCAGGGAGGCCCTCCTGCCCATATTTTTGAAGGAGGTATTTGTACTGTTTTGTTTTCAGATTTATTTGAGTTCTTTATGGATCTTTGATAGCAGTCCCCTGTCAGATATATGGTGTGCCAATGTTCTCTTCCATTCCTGCCCTTTTAGAGATGCCCAGCACAAGGCCAGTGGTGTCATTCAGCATGTGATATTAGAGGCAGAGTGAGAAGTTAGGTCGGTGGGTAGTGGAGCAGGAGGACAGGGACTAAGGTTGCAGCTCTACAAAGTCTCCACAGGAGAGCAGCTGGGTGAGTGTGACTGACTGGACACTGGCTGGAACCTGACTTATATACACTTCAGTATGCCTGCCATTCAAACCTGATTAGTCCTTTTTTTTTTTTTCATTGGCAACCATGGGCACTCCAATAAGATTGGGCAGTTTACCATCCCAGTTATATGATCAGTGTCAGTTGAATTTCCCTAATGTGTGCAGCCTGACCTGTACTGAGGTTGGGCGTCACAAGGAACACTAGGCACCAAGGGTGAGGAGGCACTCATCCCACATATTTGGTGCTAGTTGAGCTCTAGTCAGTTGGTCCATTTTCAATCTGATGCTGGATCTTTTCCCTCTCAAACTGGCTGTTTCAAAACTGAAAATGCACAAGTGTGTCCATCTTGACCCATAATGAACTTGGGCTTCTGAAGCAAGCAACAGTCGCCTTCTTTCTCACTGGTCCAAGCTGAAATGTGATTAGTAACCAAAGGAGCTCTGATCAAACAGATTCATTTTGAATCCCTTGTTGGTTTCATGGGCTCCTTTGACAAGAGAGATGACTATCCTAGCAGTTGAGAGGCACCCTCCCCCTCAATAGTATTTAGCAGGACTTCATTCAGGTCCACTCTCATTGTTCTTGGTGCTATGTGACTGCCCTTGTGTTCCCAGGGTACTGAAAGACCATGGAGGTTTTTCCCAGCATCTGTTTGTGCGCGCAGATTTGCTTTGACCTTAGGTTGGCCCAAGGGCCACACCCACTCTTCTGTACACCCACTGCAATGCTACCTCCATTCTGTCCATATGGCACTCGGGTCCTGCTCCCATTGCATGACTTCTGGGGCCCCATTACTTCCCACCCCAGCTAACCATAGCCTCCTTCCTACCATGGATAGCACTGGATGCCAAAGGGGACCTATGGCTTTTTGGTCCTTTAAAGGCCCATGCTGGAGCAGCAGTGGAGAAGACCACCATGGTAATTTTATGGCAGTATGAGCCCACTGCCATGGTGCGTGTGTGTGTGTGCGTGTGTGTGCGTGTGTCTTGTGTTGTGTGAAAAGCATAGGCTTTGATGTTGTACCTACACACCATCACCATGACACTGGGCACATGCCTCCCCACTGATGCGCATGCACTGCTGTTTACTGATGTTGCTTGGCAACGGTTGGTTCTTCCAACTGAAAGTTTCCTAGCTCTGCTGGAACTTGGCTGCTAGTGGGTTGTGGTGACCTACCTGGTTCCTCTAGCAGTGCTTGGCTGGCTGGCGATTCATCGCTAAGTGCCATTGTTGGGTGGTAGAGGCAGCAGAGGGAGGGGAGGCCTCCCGAAGTCCTGCGCTTTGCCATGAGGAGGATTTTTGGTTGGTCTTCTTGGACCTCCCGCACCCCACAGAAGAAAACCATCACCGACCCTGTTGTCGACCATAACACTGACACAAGAAGACCTGTGTATGGCAACATCAAAGACAAAGGTCTCAAGAAGATCCACAGAGCTGCTCTCATCGGCGATGTCTCTGAAGTGCAGGCGCTTCTGCAGCTGCATAAACGTGCCTTGAATGAGTTGGACTCACAGCACAGGTACCGGGCACTTGGAGGCCAGCAGGGAGAAGGAGGGAGGTCCTGGGAGAACGCAACCTTTCTGGGATCATCCTGGGGGAGCCCTGGCCTCTTGTCACTGAGAGGGAGCACTGAGCCCTCTTACCTGGCTAGGGATCGCAGCCCCTGGGTGCTGGGGTCAAACTCCCAGCTAGCTTGATCTATAGCAGAAACAGACGGGGGCCGCTTGGGGACTCACGTCAAATTAGCCCTGTGGAGGGCTTACTGATCAGCAGGAAATGACCTAACTCAGGTCAATAATGAGAAAAGAATCAAAATGTAGAGCATTTTCCTGCGCATGGACACACTCTTGTGTCCTCACGTTATGTACTGCAGAAAAGTACAGGAGATGACAAATTCCCTAGTAGATCAACTCCTAGGCTGACAGTTGTTCAGAAATACCCCAACGCCCATTTTATATCAGTTGCCACCTCCTCTCACATGTTCTTTTCTGAGGAACCTGAGAAGGAAACTTTGAAGGCGGAGGATGGTTCTGGTTTCTTGAAGAGGAAGACTCAGTTTCTCAAAATGGCAACTGTTGATAGATTCATCAGTTTTGCAAACCAAATCAAAGTTTAAGATCTTGAAATGTTGAGCTACACTGATGTCCTTTATTCCCTCTATCTCAGAGAAAAACCTGCCTTCATTTTACAGAGAATAGTTTTTAAAACAAGAATGAGACTAAAATCTCATTTGAAATGGCACAGATTAGCTTTTGGACATGTCAGTCAGTGGCTGACGGATAGTAGTGGAAATAATTAGGGTCCCAGGTCGGAAAAGGAACTGAAGTAAATAGGAATGAAATAACATTTTCCATCCACACAGTTTGTGAGGATGAGCAGCGGTGGCACTTGTTGTTTAGAGTTTCACTTGCTCTTCCCTTTTCTAAGAGGCGATTTGGTGGTAAGTACCCCATCTTAAAAGCTGTGGTTCTCTTACACACCCATTGTCTTCATTCTAAAACATCTTTAGGAAATAGAAATTCTGGCTGTTTTTCCTCAGCACTTCTTAATATATTAACCTGCTAGCAGGTGCTCATGCGATGGATTTTATGACAATTTCCTTAGGATCATGGGAAGGTGCATCCTCTTTCTTGTGCCTGGCTCCCCTGCTTGCTCTGCTGATGCTTGGCCTACCTTGAGATAGCTGTTCCCTGGGCTGCTCCTGTGTGCCCTCACTGGGGCCCTATCATGTTTTTTTTTAATTAAATTATATATATATATACGCATATATACACATATATATTTTACTTTGTTGTTCATTTTTATACGATGTTTGATTTCTCCTCTCAGGTATAATCCCCATAAATTTTCACCACCACCCCATAAATTTTCAGTCACCCGTGAACTGTCACCATAGTCTCTTGTGCTCTCGTTGTCGTTTGATCCCTCTCCCTCCCCTGCCGTAGGTCTCGGATGTATAGATTGTCTGCTAGTTTTGTCTTTTTTCCCCTGACCCTTTCTTTAGTTTTCCTATATTCCTCCTCTAAATGCAACCATCTGATATTTTTCTTTATCCTTCTGACTAATTTCACTGAGCACAGTCCCTTGTAGCTCCATCCATGTTGCTGCAAAATGGCATGAGTTTATCTTCCAGTGTTATGTTGAAGAGCAGTGGTGAGAGTGGACACCCTTGTCTTGTTCCAGATCTTATAGGAAAGGCTTTCAGCTTTTCACCATTGAGTATGATACTAGCTGTGGGTTTGTGGTATAAGGATTTATCATGTTCAGACATGTTCCTTCTATCCCAAGAATTTTGAGGGCCTTCATCATAAATGGATGTTGAATTGTGTCAAGTGTTCTCTCGGCATCTATTGATTTGGTCATATGGTTTTTATTTTTCTTTTTGTCGATGTGTTGAATTGCCTCAATTGATTTTCAGATTTTGAACCATACTTGTCCCCCTGGAATTAATCCAACTTGGTCATGGTGTATTATCTTTCCATGCATTGTTGGATTTGGTTTGCCACGATTTTATTGAGGATTTTTCCTTCTGTGTTCTTTAGGGAGATTGGCCTCTAGTTTCTTTTTTGTGTGTTGTCTCTGTTTGGTTAGGTATTAGGGTGATGTTGTCTTTATAAAATGTATTTGGTAGTATTCTTTCTTTCTCTGTTTTTTTTTTTTTTTTTTTTTTTTAAGTTGTGGTGAGAGTGGACATCCTTATCTTGTACCAGGTCTTAAAGGAAAGGCTTCACGTTTTCACCATTGAGAATGATATTAGCTGTGGGTTTTTGTTGGCTAGGCACCAGTTCATCTTTGAGCTTCTGTAGAACTCATTTGTGAAACCATCTGGTGCTGGGCTTTTGTTTTTGGGGAGTGTTTTGATTACTGTTTCAGTTTCATTGTTTGTAATTGGTTTCTTTAGGTTTTCTATTTCTTCTTTCTCCAACTTTGGCTGATTGTCTCATTCTAAGAATTTGTCCATATCTTCTATGCTGTCAATCTTGTTTGCATATAAGTGTTCATAGTAATCTCTGTTGTTTGGAGCTCTACCATGTCTATTATTATTTATCCTCTTTTATTTTTTTTTTTTTTAAGATTTATTTTATTTATTTATACATACAAGCACTGGGTACAGTCAGAAGCGCGGGAGGGCGAGAGAATTCACCAGAGCCAGAGTGGGGAGCAGAGCAGGCAGAAGGACCGAAGTACACTGCTGAGGGGGAGCAGCGGGCGGCAGGAGAGGTCTGCGTGCCATGTGGGACCCTCCTCTGGTGGCCGGGGAGCAGCCGGGGATCGAACCGGCGCTGCAGAGGCTGCGGGCAACTTCGCAACCCAGCGCTCAACCGCTGTGCCACCGGGGAGGCCCTGAAAGTATTTTTTAAATTTCTTCTTTGATTTCCTCTTTAATCCTGTGGTCTTCTACCAATGTGGATTCAACCTCCACAAAGTGGGTGGCTTGCTTGCTTTCTTTTCATGATTTATTTCTAGTTTGATGCCTTTATGATCAGAGAAAATGGGTGGAATTATTTTGATTTTTTTTTTAAAGATTTATTTATTTAGTTATACAAGAACCGGGGTGCAGGCCAGATGCACGGGAAGGTGAGAGGATTTACCAGAGACAGAGCAGGGAACAGAACAGGCAGACTGATGAAATACACTAATGAGGGGAGCAGTGGGCGAGGCAGAAGAGGTCTGCTGTGCCATGTGGGACCTTCATCGGCTGGCCGGGGTCGAACCAGCGCTGCAGAGGCTGTGGACAGCTTCACAGCGCTGAGCTTAACCACCTGTGCCACCAGTGGCGGCCCTATTTTGATTTTCATGTATCTGTTGATATTTGTCTTGTGGCCCAATAAGTGATTGGTTGTCAAGAATGATCCTTGTGCACTTGAGAAAAATATGTACTGGGGTTTTTTTAGGGTGCAGTATCCTATAGATGTCTGTTAAGCCAATGAGGTCTAGGTCTTTATTAGGGCTCTAGTGTCTTTGTTTATTTTTTGTCTTGTCTATTTGTCCATTGGTAAGAGTGGGGTGTTAGAGTCTCTTACTGTATATGTATTTTCTGTAATATCTGTTTTCAGAGCTAATAAGTATTATCTTATATACTTTGGTGCTCCTTCATTGGTGAGTATATGTTGAATGATGTACTGCCCCTTTAATCATAATGTAGTGTCCATATTTTTCTCTCATTTTTTTTAAAAAAGATTCATTTATTTGTGCAAACAAGAACTGGGGTATAGGCTAGAGGTGCCGTGGGAGGGGTGAGAGGATTCGCCAGAGACAGAGAGATAACAGAGCAGGTAGACTGACTGAAATGCACTGCTGAGGGAAGCAGTGGGCGAGTCAGGAGAGGTAGAGGTCTGCTGTGCCATGTGGGTAGCACCCCGGCAGGCCAGGGATCGAATTCATGCAGTTGCTGCGAATTGCTGCATAGGAGGCCCATCTTTGTGTTTTTTACCTTTGTTAGCCTTAAGTCTGTTTTTTGATATTAGTATAGGTGTTCCTGCATTCTTTCTTGGTTCATTTGCTTGTAGGATTGTTTTCAAAGCGTTTACTTTCAGCCTAAGTTCATCTTTTGTAGTTAAATGTGTTTGCAGAAGATAGCAGATGGTTGGACTTTGCGTTTTAATCCAGCCAGGGACTCTGTATCTTCTTATTAATGAGTTTAGTCCATTTACATTTAAAGTTAATACTGATATAGGCTGACATCAGACTTCTCCGAAGAAACACTACGGGCAAGGAGAGAGTGGAGGGACATAGTCAACAGACTCCAAGAAAACAGATGCCAACCAAGAATTCTCTATCCCGCAAAGCTCTCCTTCCTCTTTGAAGAAAGAATATGGACCTTCCCAGACAAACAGAAACTCTGGAATTTCATTACAACTAAACCCCCACTCCAAAAAATACTACAAGGAGTCCTAAAGCCAGAACCTCAGAGGGACGAATAACAATGAAAGAAGGCCAAAAAAAAAAAAGTTATTAAAAGAATAAATAAATAAAATCAAAGGAAAGACAAACACAATGGCAAATACAGATGCTAACATATCAATATTAACTCTAAATGTAAATGGACTAAACTCTTCAATAAAAAGACACAGAGTTGCAGCCTGGATTAAGAAACAAAACCCAACCTTTTGCTGTCTCCAGGAAACACATTTAGCTACAAAAGATAAAAATAGGCTCAAAGTTAAAGGATGGAAAACAATCCTACAAGCAAATGGACCAAAAAAGAAAGCAGGAACAGCTATACTTATATCAGATAAAACAGATTTCAAACTCAAAAAGATAAAAAGAGACCCCAATGGTCACTACATTATGATCAAGGGGACAATACTTCAAGAAGAAATAACACTCATTAACATATACTCACCAAACGAAGGCGCACCAAAATATATCAGAAAACTGTTGTCCTCTCTGAAAACAGACATCAGAGAAAACACATATGTAGTGGGAGACTTCAACACACCACTATCAACAATGGATAGATCAACAAGACAAAAAATAAGTAAAGAAACCAAAGCTCTAAATAAGGACCTAGAGCAA